GATTTGAAGGAGCAGAGGTGGAGAGAAGCAGAGGAATTGAGGATATACTTTGCGGTAAGTCTTTTTCACTGATGAATTCAAATGCAAGGACAAAGAAAGTGTGAATTCAGGTTTACTCCGAATTTTGTTTTGAGTCAAGAGGTATGTGGATAGTGCCATTGACAGGGTGAGTGTCACTGAGCTCCAGAATGTGCAAAAAGTAATTGGGCATTTGGAAACATATCAACTTCTAGCTTTTTATTAGCTATCCAAGTACAAGGTACCTACTTGGAGACATAAATATTGATAAAGAGCTTGAGTTAACGTACTGTTGTTAGGTGCCATCAATTCCAGTTCAAAGTGAACCCGTGTGAGATGGGAACTGCCCCCTACTGTTTTCTAGGCTGTAGTTTTTACTGGAGCAGCTTGCCAGTAGTTTCTCCCACGGAGCCACTGTGTTCCCCTAAGCCCTGAGAAGTTGTCTTTTACTCCATAGGGTTAACTTTTGTCCAAGTTAACTGACATTTCCTGGGCAAGCTGGAACAACTTGATTTTTATCTAGTCCTGGGTTGCGGCCTGTCCTGTGATTGGTTTAAGTACCACCACTCTTGTCTCCCATCTACTGCAACTTCTCATTGGTCAATAGAGATATAGTATAGATGATGCAAATAAAGTTACTATAGTCACCAAAACTGGTTAGTTCATGGCCCTGGTGGGAGGGTGTAAAAATTGTGGGGCTGGTTTCTGATTTCTAACTTCAACAAGGGGACAGAGTAATCGAATCAACAGCCCAAGGCTGATTTCTATGAAACAGGTCAGACATGCCTCTACCCTTCAACCTTTTTATCACTTCTGACACCAACTGTCCCTGCCACAGTATTCTCTCCTTCTCTGCTGGGTTGGAGATCATCTGTCCTGAACCCACTCTTCCACAGGTTATTACTCTGCATGTTTCGTTTGCTGATATATGCCATGCCTAAAACAGTGCATGGCCAAGTGTAGATGCTATAGACATTTTTGGAATGAATTACCCAATAAGCCAGAGTTTTGCAATTCAATTCTAAGACAGCCAATTTTTTCCTCTGTGAACAGTATGCACTGTTTTGAAACTGGGCATACTTTTATTGGATCAAGGAAAAGAACTCTGGGTGGTGGAGGAAGGATAAGGGCCCTACTGCCAGGAGAAAGAGAAGGAATATAAGCCACATCTCCATGAAGCATGTCACAGACAAATTGGGATCTCTCAAATGGTGACAACTCTCAAAGGGGACAGACCTGGTACAAATGTTAAGTGTTCTCCCAGA